AAATTGGAAATATTTGAGCCCTCTTCCGACCCCCTTAACTTAGGATACTAATGAGAAGTCTTTTGTAAATACTACCAACATGGTGGCAACGATGTAACATGCAAACGATTAATTATTAAAATGAGAATAATACTAATGAATTACTTATAATAATTGTAATGATAATAATGATGATGATAAAGTCATTAATATATTTGAAACCCTCTATGCATTTTACAATCAATCTAAAATGCCCATACAACAAGAACTAGTCTAAATAAATAAATGAATGAAAATAAAAGGAAAGGTAATAAATTATGAGTATAAAGTTGACAATAAGCAGTTGAACAACATTCACTATATATAGTTCAAAATACCAACAGTCAAGTATATACAAAGCATAGATAAAGGGTATACAGAGCTACCTTGAGCATATACATGTAGTTACCTTGTTCTTGATTTGTGCTGCATAATTGTCACTTTAGGGCATATTGTTGATATGGCCAAGAAGTATGGTGCTTTGCTGTTTGCTGTGGAACATCGCTTCTATGGACGCAGTATATTTGCAGAATGCTTTAAGGACAAAAATATGGGACTCCTTTCAAGTCAACAGGCGTAAGTATTTTGAATCACATCCTAGAATAGAAAGAAGATGAAAATAATATTTGGATAAATATTCAATTGCCATATTTACAAATAGGTGACGTTCAATATCTTAAGATTCAAAGCCGATTGCAAGGCTTAAGCAGAGTGCATACCATGTCTGTGAAAAACTGTGTAAGGAAATGCACAAATTTGTAAGTTCAGTAGACCACAAACGTTTGCACTTATTTCGTTAAGTTAACTTTTTCATGGATATAATATGGTATGCACTAATGGTACTTCATGTATTGTACAAACATGTCTACCACCAAAAACATTTATTGGTAGGAATAAGATAGTTTATCATATGACCCGTATCTGCCTAGGCTTGCGCTCTTAAAAAAAACTTTCAGGAAAATGGCGTGAGCAGGGCTGTATGGCTTTGAGCAAGCAGGGTAGTACGAATCCATATGGTCCTGCTTTCTCTTTTTTAGCTTTTTTTACTATTTCTTTCTTTCTTTTATTTTTCTTTTGGTGAGGGTCATATGATAAAATGCTTATTGACTGAGTTAGGTCGGGTTGTACAGGAAAATATTTGGCTCTCGGTCATTTGTACAAATAAGATAGTTTATCATATGACCCGTATCTGCCCAGGCTTGCGCTCTTAAAAAAAACTTTCAGGAAAATGGCGTGAGCAGGGCCGTATGGCTTTGAGCGAGCAGGGTAGTACGAATCCATATGGTCCTGCTTTCTCTTTTTTAGCTTTTTTTACTATTTCTTTCTTTCTTTTATTTTTCTCTTGGTGAGGGTCATATGATAAAATGCTTATTGACTGAGTTAGGTCGGGTTGTACAGGAAAATATTTGGCTCTCGGTCATTTGTACGGACCTCACTGTGCTCAGTCCATACGGCATCACCACGAGCCAAATATTTTCCTATATGGCCCTCCCACTCAGTCAATAAGTACATAATACCATATATGAAGTTCCTACCCGTTTCGGCAATAATAAGAAAATTTTGATAGAAATGCTAATCAGTTTACATCACTATATCAGTATATCCTTTTGAGGTTCAATGCAATTTTGAGCATCCAGAGAGCCTCGGTAGAATCTTATAATTTTAATTATACAGCTTCTCATTAATCCCATATAGGTAACTGTCCAATTATTTTCTTAATTGGACAGGTCTTGTTGATATGGGATTAATTAGGCAGCTATATAACTAATAGGTGATGGGATTTCATGCTCCCCAATCAAGAAATAATTAGACTTGAAAAATTCCTCTGACTACCAAATTGGACTCGGCCTACAGCCTCATCCAATTTTGTATGGAGTCCTATTACATATACTAATATCTCAAACATGGCTTATTTACAACAAAGATCACAATTATTGGATTTTTTTTTTCTTACTCTGTTCTGACTGACATATTTTCAGATTGGCTGATCTAAGTATTTTCATAAAATATGCGAGTAACAAGTTTGGGCTGACAAACAAGAACAAATGGATCAGTTATGGAGGTTCTTATCCTGGCTCACTTTCAGCCTGGTTTAGAATAAAGGTATGCTTAAGATAGGCAATACTCACGAGGAATATGTTGTAAGAAATATTATAGAATACCATTTACTGTTATAAATCTTGCATTCTTATTGGTTGGGAGCACATGCTTTATGAAATCACACAGCATACAAGCGCACTTTCAGTTGCATCATTTATAATTTGTATTAAATAAAATAAAAGAAAACCTTTCTTGCTGTGCTGTGTTCAGTTATAAAGCATTTGGGGATTGGCAGAACACTCGATAAATCATTAAGCTTAGCACTCCACCATGCATCGTTCTTCTCCTAAACATTTCTCTGGTGTTCTGCCAATCATCACATGCTGTATGACTGCACACAGCACGCACGCCTGTTTTCTATTTCCTCAATAGCTACAGTGAAATGCTTTACTGATATGTTTTTCACTCGTTTATAGTATCCTCATCTTGTGATCGGAGCAGTAGCATCGTCTGCACCAGTTCAAGCAACAGTTAATTTTGAAGCCTACAACGATGTAAGTCAGAATATTTATTTTTAAATTAGATTAGACTATATATTTTTTCTATTAATTCTGCCTTGAAAAATTACATTTGACATATTTTTTATCAGTGATTTTTCTTATTGATTTTTAAGGTCGTTGCCGCAAGTCTGAACTCAAAATTGGTGGGAGGTTCTGAGCAGGTAATATTATTTTATGTCATTGAACAGGTTTTATATAAAAATGATTAGGATGATGGTGATGATTATGTTAATGATGATGATGATGATGATAATGTTGATAAAGAAATATTAATAAATAAAATACTTTAAATTTTGGTAGCTTCATTAGAAGTTGCAAGTTGTTTTTAAAATTAATCTTAATTATTTATTAATCATAAACTATTAATTTCTCATTTATTACTTTTACATTTATTAATCATAGACTATTTATTTTTTTATTGGTTACTATTTAGTACAGCATTTATTAACCATAAACTAGCTATTAACAACTTAATATTTTTGTAATTTATTAATCATTAAGTATTATTATTTTTATTGTTTACTTATATATTTTATTATCTAGTGTGTAGACAAAGTAAAGTCTGCTTTCAAGCAGATTGAAGAGTACATTACTGAAAAGAACTTTTCACAACTGCAAGAGGACTTCAATTCCTGTAATGACATCTCCAACACAAATGACTCGTGGATGTTTGCTGTTAATCTTGCTTCATTTGTAATGGGAATTGTACAGTACAATCGCCAAACACCAGGACTTGATATCTCCACTCTGTGTAAATATGTTACCAATTCATCTGGAACTCCATATTTAAATTTTGCTTCTTTATACACAGTAAGTAGTATTAGCGACATGAGTGAAAAACATCTGCGCAAGCTCTAAATCTGTATGCAAATTAGTCAAAAGATCTCCATACTATTGTAAAGATATGTAAATTTGACTTTCAAACATATGCTTGATAAATTAGACTTCACAAAACATGAAAACTTAGTGTCCATGCTTGGAACTTCAGGCTAATTCTTTCATATTGTGTTTGTTAATACAGTATCTTGGTCTTACAAAAGTATACTTGCAAAGTTTTTTTTGTATACTCGAAAGCAAACATTTAATTTTCTCCCTCAAACTCTTCTAAATAATTCTTAGAAAACGTGCTGAAATGCATGCATGCACGAAGGTTTTTCTCTAGTGTCAGTATTAGCTTATATTCAACCTTCTATGTCAACTTGATGATATTTTAATAAATTATAATATAATTCAGTTATTATAATTTACATAACATTTAGCGACATTATATATTATAACCCCTCCATTTTTCTCGTAGGGCTACATGAAACGCTTTCAAAGGTGCAACGAATTCAGCTATCATAATTTCATACTCCAACTCAAGAACATAGATATTGATCCATCTGGATTGCCGATGATTCGACAGTGGTATTTCCAGACCTGCACCCAATTTGGCTACTGTAAGTCTATTACCGTATTCTCTTGTCTAAGCTCTGCCCCCATAAAAAGCCACCCTCAAATAAGCACTGGCCTTGAATTTTCGCCACACATAAAACCCAAAAATATTAATAACGGCCCTGGTGCTCAAATGAGTAAATAAAGTATTGACCACTACTTTTGAAATGTGCTGATGAAAGTCAAATTTCCTCCCTTAGTACCTATGTTTATTGTATTTTCTGGCCTTTTCAAGATGGCAGCCACATTGTGGGGGTGTAGAATAAAGTCAATTTCCCAAGGATGGAGTGTCCCTCCCCCTGGGGCTTAAAATTGATAGGTGCATTATGATCCATTGCATATGCAATCAATATTGATGCTTATACTTGTCAATCTCTTATCTACTTAAAATTTTGCAGTTCAAACATGTGATCCCAAAACCAAATGCGTATTTTCAAAGAGAGTTAATCTTCTATCTGACCTGGACATTTGTCAAGAGGTGTTTGGAGTCAAGCCCAAAAGTGTGCAAGAGAGAGTCAACTTCACCAATCAGTACTATGGCAGCAACAAACCTAGGGGCTCAAAGATAATATTTATTAATGGTAAATAATGATAATCTTAATTGTCGTGTCCCACTCGATATGTTGAATGCTGGTTATACCTCCATTTTCCTTCGAGATCAAAATTAATGGGTAATAGTCCCCTTCACAGTTCCCTGTGCCATTTTGAAAGGTAGCCGTGCCTTTGCATCAAAGCAAGACAAACTGAGAAGTTGCAACGGTAGAGATGTGAATAATTGACCAAAGTGTTAAAAAAGGTCTGTATTATTCCAATTTAACCGTTTGTCTTGCTCCTATGCAAAGGCACGGCTACCTTTCAAGATGGTGCAGGGAACTGTGAAGGGGAACATTCACCTTTCCAAAGTTCAAATACCGATTATGAACTGCTCAGTCAATGACGTCCTGTAAATGGACAATGTCTGTCCAAAATTAGCATTCGTCTGGACAAATTCAATTTAGGCCGGTCCTCTAAAACTGGTCATATTTTGATCCGTCCAATGTGGCCAGTCAATGTCATGTCCAGCCATTGAGCATGTTAATTTTAGCCCTGCCTGTGTAATGTGAGACTGAGAAGAGATCAAAGAGGTTCACCATATCTTGATCCCACTAAACAATGACATATACCAGGAGATCATTCAGTCTTTCTTTGAATGTCAGAAAGGAAAATATTATATATTTTAGAACATACCATTTTTAAAATGTTTTCAACAACACTAATAGAATCACACAATTTTGCAATTGCAACATCAAACAATAATTCAGGATTGACATTTACCCAACAATTCCCATTTCATAGAAGCACACCGATTGCTTAGCCTATTATCATTTGTTATGATTGAACAGATGTTTCCAATATTTTTCTTTTCATTATTTGCTCAGGATCAATTGACCCTTGGCATGCACTGAGTGTCTTAAAAAACCTGACGTCATCAGAAATATCTATATTTATTCCTGGTACTTCACATTGTGAGAATATGGCTTCTGATGATTTTGATGACCCACCAGCACTCAAAGAGGCAAGACAGGTAGGCAGATTGTCTTATCAAAGCCAAAAGCAAAAAATATATCGTAAGAGTGACACAAGGCAAGATGGTAGAGTGCATGCCATATATCTGTAAAACAATTACTAGCTATGTAGCACTAAAAAGTATTTTATTTGCTTTTGTTCACAATGTTCTGTTCCAGGAATATCCAATATTTTGCACAAAATAGCTGCAATTAGTCAATACATAAATCTTTGGGGTTTTTTTTTCATGGATATATGGCATTCATTTTATTGTGAGCTTTACCACTAGTGCAAAATTGAAATTATAGTCATAATTTAAACTAGTGAATTCTCACTTTCTTAATATTATCATCTTATACGCACTATGTGTATTTTAGCCTTTAAAAACTAGTTTCGTTGTTACAACCTCTTCAGTTTGGCTAGAATAGTCAAATTGAAATTGTTTCATTTGTTACAATAACTGATATAGTTTAAAATGTCTTTGAATTCTTTTCCTCCTTAGAAAGTCTCCGATATTGTTGGTACCTGGCTAGAGAAAGCGGAGCAAGACAATTGATATTCAAAGCAATTATTATTAGTAAAATATTTTTATGTTATTTAGAAATGAAAAGATCTGTGTTTTAATAGCGCAGCGCACTGATTCTAAAAATAGCTTAAAGATTCGGACAAGCATTGCATTCTGTTTAACCGCTACGAGGATTACATGAACCAATTTTATTATTTTTACTTAAAGTTACAATAATAACCCATGTAAACTAAGATCAACTGCGATCGGCTGTGAAAATTATCTGCTTAAAGTAAACTTGTAAGTTTGTTTGTCCGAATTTCGCATTTGTCTTCGTTTTTATGACGTCACGACTGGCTGCGCTATTTTTCCCTATAAAGGAAACTTTAGCTGATTGCTACGATAAATTCATTACTTTGCTAAATAAGTTACAGTATTGTAAAAATGGCAGCAAGAGATTTTAAAAATTGTAATGCTTTAGTAGGAGAAGTGAATTTCATAAAAATTTTTTAGGTTCCAGATTATTTCATAAATAAAATATTAAGTGTATAATAGTACAGTTTTGCTGACCTGGTGTTAATAGTAAGTAGTATAAGATCTATTATTTTAAGTTTATTTTCAAAAGGAGTTTAGAATAAATATGAAATAAAAAGCTGTAAGCAGTTCCGCCCAGTGGCCTCAAAATTGAGTTAAGATAATACAGTGCTGACATTAAACCTGTGAACAAGCGTGGATACAATCAATTGTTTTCTATTTTTAGCTAACTATTTAGCACATCTTCACAGGTTTATTGTCAAAATAATCACTTCTACAAATTAAAATCAATAAATCCATAAACAATTATGGCTTTCACCGGTAATTAAGACCTCAAACATTTTAAACACATGCTTGTGGAAACCACAAAATGTTTTAATTTAAGAACTTCGTTTATTTTTCCAATTTAGAATGATTTATTTCAGTAATGTTTTAAAGTTTTATTGTTCATAAATGTGGGCATTATGTTGAATTTATACCTTATTTACTAATAAATTTACTACTGAAAAACATGAACAAAAAGAAAAGCCAAGGTAGTAAACTAGCAGTGGTGAATGGTATGGTTTAAAAAATGGTAATTGATAATAATTAATAATAATAATTTAATACTTATATTGCGCATGTTACATGGGAAGATGCTCACATGCGCATTACAAACTGAAATAGAAATACAAAAATATAAATTATGATCTAAACATACCATGTAGGCCTGTTGCATCAGCCCCAAAGCAGCGCAACCAGGAGGGCAAGCAATGAACTGGCCATAAGGCAGTGTCTATTGCTCTGCCCACCGAATTAATTAATTAAATGTTAATAAACCAAATAAAGACATTCTAAACACTAACACAATGCGGGCTTCTGCGACTTATGGCGCTGCAAGAACTGGTGATGATGAAATAATAACACAGAGGAGTAAAGGCAGTTAAGTGAGAAATAAATAGACAAAATAACAGCAAAAAAATTGTTAAAAACAATAATTCACTTTTTACTAGCTTTTGTAAGTTGTCACCTCCACATTTTAAAATCCAATCCTGAATCAAATCTTAGGATTTTTAAATTTCTTGGTCAATAAATTAATAGTCAGGGTATTGAAATCTTTTATTCATCTACTATAACCATACACTAGCCTGTCTCAGGTATGTTTTCACTATCTTTTCTTTGCATCTTGAGGAATTCCAATGCTTCTGGTGGTGGTTGTAAGTAATCTGGCATCTGTTTGAGGGCTGTGTGTTCTATGTTCATGCTTATTCCCTCAGGAAGGTTACGCTGTATGTACTCCAGGAAAACGTCTGATGTTTCAGCAGTAATATTTCTTAACTAATGAGAAACAAAACAAAATGAGTTCACCTGGTAAGTGGTTTTGTCTACTTATCAAGTTGCAGAGGTGGGAGGGGAGCATCAGACCAGGAGGGGAGCATCAGACCAGGCGGGGCATCACCTTTATTGGCAGTGTTTGCAGTGTACCAAGTGCTGGGTTGGAAATATTTCTCCCTCCAAGAAATTTTGGAGGAGTAAGTATAGGACATGGTAAATATCTCCACTTTTTAGGTGCGAGGGGTGCCAGGTTGTCAATGGACTTTGGCCCGGTTGCCATGGTAATCTCTGTGAATGCTTTGGTTTAGCATGACCAGACCTTGCACAATGACACTCAAAACTTAACACTACAATGAGTATTATAATGCTAAAGTCACACACAGTAACACACATTACTACAATAATCGCAGATTACATATATATATATGTGGAGTCCCATTATTTTGAGTCTCCTGGACCAGAGAAAAGGTCCAAAATAGTGGGGAAAGGTGCAAGATATCCAGGGTTGTAGAATTGTACAGTGTTGCAAGTACATTGGACATGACCTCCAGTTCAAGAAAATGAGAAGTTATAGAAGTCAGGAGTTCAAGGACTGGACTACAAAATAGATCAATGAAGTAATGCTTCAAATACGAGTTGCTGTATTCTATTGGGGTTTCAAAATCCAAGTGGAATTTCAAATGCTGATGCATAGCCAAGGCATTTGAAATTCCATGACGATTTTGAAACCCCAATAGAATGCAGTGACAAGTATTTGACATGGCATCTTATACTCTTTTTGTTATGTTTGTTTATATTTCAAAGTTCTTGTACTTTGAGTAGTATAGGGAATGGGGGTTCCAGCGCAATCTCAACACGGGCAAGACCCGTGTCAAAAATCCACCTACGGACAATCCCCCACTCCAAGTGTGGTTGGGGGCAACAGCGCAAATATGTTAGTCTATATATGGAGTGCGAAGA